CCTGACTAGATATCCTGGGAGATGGTGGACGGACCGGGTCCGTAGGGAACCCTACCGAGAACATGGTCTCTCATACCGGACGGGGTATGGAGACCTTATGTGTTTTGGCGCTCATACCGGACAGGGTATGGGGACGGCCCGTTTCACCCTCATACCGGACGGGGTATTGAGGTTCATGGTTTTGGCGCCCATACCGAACGGGGTATGGGAACGGCCCTGGAATCAGGTTATAAATGTTAAGGTTCACGGGTAGCGGGACTCCTATGGATCCCCATGGATATTAGTAGGCTGGTAAATGAGGAAAATATGTTGTTTAATGATTGAAATGCAAAAGTGTGGTAAGTATTATGTTATACAGTTCATATGATTTCATGATGATGATAATGTTATTGCTTTCATATGTTGTTTTATGGATCTCACCGAGGTAAGTGGACAGTAAAAGATTTTATTACTAATAAAAGAATTTGTTATAAATTATGCTCCATTGGTCCTTTTGTATTTCCTACCCACCTTTACCTCCGTGGCAGTGAGATAGTGTAATATCTTTACTGGGCTGGTGTAGCTCATTCCTTATTTAACCATTTCAGATCAGGAAGACATTGTTCCCGAATCCGTTCCGCAGGAAGACGACGAAGGGGACGCCTAAAGACTCCGTAATTATATTTATAGTTCTTATTTTCGAGTATTTCTTTTAGTTAGTTTGTTCTTTTATATTTTGAGCACGTTTTTGATTTTGTGTAAGGGATGTTAATCAAAAATTTTATTACACTTCCACATTTGACATTTTTAATATACATATTTCATTTTAAATTTCCGGGGCCGTTACATTAGTCCTAGGCAATTTGATAATATGAAAATAATAGAAATATTTCTTTTAAGAAATATGTTTACATTAAAAATTAATTAATTTAAAATAGGATGAAATATACCAAAAAAAAAAAAGATTATATTGCTACATTTTTTATCATTAATATCTTTCAATAATTAATATCATATAAAATAAAATTTAAGGTAGTTTTAGAGCTCTTGAAAGAAGAAAAAAACTATAATATATTAACTAATTAAACATATGATAAATACAATCTAGAATATATAAAGATACATAAAATTGAATTCCGTTATAAAAAAAGGAACAAGCAATTTGAAGCAACAAACATACTGTTTGACATAACATCTATTAGAACCTCCTTTGTCAAAGATCAATTTGCTCTATTATAAGGGATTTTCAATCAAAATAAAATAATTCTTGAAGTTCTTCAAGGGATCAAAAATCATGTCAAAATCCAAGTTAGCTTGCTTTGTTTGCTTGGAATATGTGTCAGAATTTTTTGAAACAAAGTTTACAAGTTCTTGAATATTTTATATAAATGATCTCATAACATCTTGATAAGCAAATAAAGCACTTTGTATGTCTTTTTGATCGTGAGAAATGTTTTAATGCATAACTCTACATGTGTTCTATTTTGTGAATTTAGAACATCATTTTGGATGTAATATGATCCGAACATGCTCTTGATTTTTGTGTTGTGAATGAAAAATTTCGACTATGTTGAGCATGATACTTTTGATACGGTGAACATGCAACCTAACGATGTTATATATGAACTTTGAATGTGATATGACTACATTAAAAAATTACTTTGAACTCGTTGAGAACTTTTATGGAGATGTACCTTTTGAAAATATTTTTTAAATACTGTAGGTAATTAAATTTTGAGTTGCAATATAGATTTGTATATACTTATTGTAGGCTCTATTTTGGAATTTAAATAAGGGTTGAGATATGAATTGTGATATTTTCTACAAAGACAAATTATTAAATTAATTTTTAAAATTTGACATTTGTTACAATTTAGTTTCCATTACTTTTTTTTTTTTTTGTTACAGTTTTGTCTTTAACATTTTTTATTTGTTTCAAATGACTTAGTTTCTTCTATTTTATAAAGAAAAAAGTAAAATTGATGAGATAATTTTTGAATATTTTAAAAAATAATACAAAAAAATAATACTAGACATATTTTTTAAAGCGTTCAAATATGATTTAATTATTTTAAATTTTTATAGTTAGAAATTGAAAGAAAACAAAGAGTTTGAAACAAATGAAAAACATAAGATTTCAAATTATATTAATAGATATTACAAATATTTAACTGTATATTATATTTAAAACTTAATTTTTGCGTAATCCTTTTAATTGGATATATACAATTTGGTTTTTGGGTTAAAGTGAATTTATCAGTAGTCATTGGATTTTCTATTTATGGAAAGAATTAGGTTGACTTATTCAATTTTTTTTTTTCTTTTCAAAATTTTAATTTTTAAGACTTTGAAAATATAATTTACGATTTTCTATTTATAAAAGGAATTAGGTTGACTAAGTCAATTTCTTTTCAAAATTTTAGTTTTTTAAGACTTTTAAAATCTCAGATTAGACTAACAGAAAAAATCATTGCACACCCTTAATCTTGAAAACTTTTGACTGCCAAGTGTTAGGTAAGTTATTGAAGAAGAGGTTATGAACCACTAATAGATACTAATTATTTATACTTTTTCTCATATTAATTTGGACGTTAAGAGTAATCATCTTAGCATAAAAATTAAAGTTACTAATGTATTTATTTTAGCAAGTGATTCGTAAAAAAAACTTATATTATATTAACATAAATATTATTAATAATCTTAATCCAAATTGACTTAGTCCTAGTGTTTTCTTAAAACTCATTACTTCGTACAACGTGGGCCCACGTTTCATACCTCAAGCTTACCAGTCGTGCGCACATTAGCAGGTTTCGCTTTCCCGCCGGGAGCGATACGGTGCGTTTTGATGAGCATCTCCGTCGTTTGCGCCCTCTAAATTCCAGACTCCGGGAAACGCGGCCGGTTGAGTCCCGACACCTTTAAATTTTTTTGGTTTTTTTCTTTTCTTTTCTTTTCGTCTTTTAGTTGAACCGAAATACCTTAACTGCCCCTGATCTCTTTCTCATCGTTTCAAAATCGGAACTCTTGTTTCTGATCGTCTCTTCTCTCTCTCTCTCTCTCTCTCTCTCTCTCTCTCTCCAGTCCCCTGAATTGTTTGTAGATGGAGCAAGAAGAACAGCAACAGCAGAGGCGCGAGGATCAGAGCATCCCGGAGAGGAAAGGGCAAAAGAGGAAACTGGAAGAAGGAATAACCGACGGCGAGGAGCAGGAGATCTCCCTTTCCTCTGCAGATGCGCGCCACGCGCTCCTGCGAGAGGTTAGCGCCCAGGTTACTATCCTTGATTCTACCTTCTCCTGGAAGGAAGCTGATCGCGCCGCCGCGAAACGTGCCACTCACGTCCTCGCCGAGCTTGCCAAAAACGGTAAACATAAATTTTAGAGAAAACAAAGATGGGAACAGAAAACTCAACCGCCGGATCTCGCCACTTCGTTTCTAGTTTAGATTGTTTTCTTTTATTATGCCATCACGTGGTAGTGTTCCTGGGTGTTCTGTTTGGATTTGAGGATTTTGAGGCCACAAATTGTCGTTTGCAGAGGATGTAGTGAACGTGATTGTTGAAGGAGGTGCGGTTCCGGGTCTCGTGAAGCATTTGCAGGCGCCACTGATAAGTGAGGGAGACCATAGCTCGAAGCCGTTCGAGCACGAAGTCGAGAAAGGGAGTGCTTTTGCTCTAGGCCTTCTTGCAGTTAAGGTTGCTTGATTATGTTATTATTTTTTCACAAATATATCGCATAATCTTTGGATTTCTTTTGTTTTGGTCATAATTTTTGCTTAGAACTTCCAAAAAGCTATTCTATAGTATCGGAATTATTTAATTTGTGCTAATTGGAATTTGGCTTTCTTTGTGCACCATGAGTAAAGTGGATAATAAATAGATGTTCGCTTGGCCATGGAATGGCGGGTTATTCCATTTTCTTCTTGTTGCTGTCTTTAGTTTGTCTAACGCTTTTCTGCAGATCTTTAATAATTAAACTGATTTTTGTGTGGGAAAATAAAAATGCAACATTGAGAATGGCACTTTATTGTTCAAAGCAGCATATTAATTTATGTACTGTTTTCCAGTCCGAATGGTAAGTTATTCAATTAAGGGCTAAACCTTTAGAAATGGCTTCCTTTTTGGTTACTGAATGCGTAGACAGGCATTGCTGTATATGGAAGAAGCCTGGCAATTCAACTTTCATGGGTTAACAAATGCTCAAACTTCCATTGACCTTAGTTTTTAAGTCAAGGATAGTAGTAGTGTTTATTTTCGGAAGCTATAGTGTGGTATTTTCTTAGTTTCGGTTATTTGGTGATCTTAGCTTTCAGGATTTAGTGGGTTTTCTTGATCTTTTCTGGATTTTATTGTTAGTCCTGCCATACTAGAAAATTTTTATGGAGCAGAAGCGTTAGAGGTTATAGCTTTTGGTTAGACATACTTTGTGTGATCTCTAAACCTTTTGCCTTTTTGTGGCCTTCAATGGTAACAGCCAGAGCACCAGCAACTCATAGTTGACAACGGGGCCTTGTTTCATCTTGTGAATTTGTTGAAGAGGCACGAGGATGGTTGTGGTTCTCGTGCTGTGAATAGTGTCATTAGACGGGCTGCTGATGCTATCACTAATCTTGCTCATGAGAACAGCAGTATCAAGACCCGTGTTAGGTCAGCTGATTTGTGTTCTTTAATTTCAAAATTCACCTCTAGAACCATTCTTTTCTCATGGCCATCACTTCTGGATAAACAGGATGGAAGGTGGCATTCCGCCTCTGGTTGAGTTGCTTGAATTTACTGATACCAAAGTGCAACGAGCAGCTGCGGGGGCACTTCGCACGTTGGCATTCAAAAATGATGAAAATAAGAATCAGGTAGTTGATATATTTGAACTTTGAGTTTAACAAGATTGGCTTGAAGATTAATAATTGATATGGCTGCTATCATCTCACAGATTGTTGAATGCAATGCTCTTCCTACTCTCATTCTAATGCTAAGATCAGAAGATGCTGCCATACACTATGAAGCGGTAATAGAATTTTTCCACATGACTTTTATATTAGCCCCTATAGGAACTCACACTTATATGGAATTTCAAAATGTACTTCCTTGCTGGATGTGTTATCAAATGACCTACCATGGGTTGCAGGTTGGTGTTATAGGAAATTTGGTACATTCATCTCCAAACATAAAGAAAGAAGTTCTTGCTGCTGGAGCTCTTCAACCAGTCATTGGACTGCTTAGGTACATTAGATCTGATAATGTCATCCTTAGTAATATTTCTCTGCATGGTCATAGGATACTATTCTTTTTCTGCATTTATTATTTTCTTTTACATGTTACATGGTTCTTTTTGTTTACTTTCCTATTCCAACGACTCAAAGTTTATTTATAGCAGTTCCTGCTGTTCTGAAAGCCAAAGAGAGGCAGCCTTGTTACTAGGACAATTTGCAGCAACTGATTCAGATTGCAAGGTGCCCTTTTCTCTATTCTATATCTCCTCCTTTTCCATTGTCTTATGGAGTTGAGACTTGAGAGTTAATTCCTCCCCAAAACTTTCCTTAGTACCTTGGAATAGGGAAGAATTGGATTCTGAACTTAGGATAGGCTATCTATCCTGCTAGCACTGATAAGACGAGCATTATCCTCATTGGACCATTTTCCTTAATGCCAGCCTTCGTGCTTCTGAGTTTTTTTTTCACTCTCCTTTCCTCATATTTTTTCCATTAAAAAGTGGGATGTTTGCAGGTTCATATTGTACAGAGAGGTGCAGTTAGACCTTTAATTGAGATGCTTCAGTCAGCTGATGTTCAGTTGAGGGAAATGTCTGCATTTGCATTGGGGAGGTTGGCACAGGTTATTATTTTTATTTTCTTGTTTATATCTATTATTGAAATTCAGGAATAAATATATTAAGATGGCTATCTGTCCTTTATCTTGAGTAGCATATTTGGGATTTGATAATCAGATACTTCAATATTGCTCAGATAAGTTTCTGTTTCAGGACACACACAACCAAGCTGGTATCGCACATAATGGTGGTTTAGTGCCACTGCTGAAGCTTCTTGATTCAAAAAATGGATCTTTGCAACATAATGCTGCATTTGCTCTTTATGGCCTTGCAGATAATGAGGTGCAATATATATCTTATGAATCCTTGTGGACTCGAGCTGAAGTCCTTAAATTTTTGTTTCCAATTTTCATCAATCTGTAGTTAATATAGTGTTCTATCCGTAGGATAATGTATCCGATTTTATTAGGGTTGGAGGTGTTCAGAAGCTGCAGGATGGAGAGTTTATTGTTCAGGTATTTTATTCCCTTTGTTTATTTCCAAACATTAGCTGCTATTTTATAGGTTTATTTCAATACTCAATGTTGCTGATTTCTTACGATCACAATTCAGTGCCACTTTCACATGGCTAAGATATTGAGATGCTTGTCAACTTAATATACACCAAGTAGAACTGTATAGAATTTGCATATATACACCAAGTAGAACTGATAGGGAATATGCATATATAATTGCAGGCAACAAAAGATTGTGTTGCAAAGACATTGAAAAGATTGGAGGAAAATATTCGTGGACGGGTTAGTATTTTCTAATCTCTTATTCTGTTCTTTTTCTCATTTTTTGAAATGTGGAAGCATGTAGTCAATGTAAACTGGTTTGGTCTATGATTCCATGACACCTATATTTTTAACCTTGGATATTGTCTTCTCATGATTTTCTGTGTAGGGTTTAAGTCATCTCTTATACCTAATGCGTGTAGCAGAAAAGTCTGTCCAAAGACGAGTTGCCTTGGCTCTTGCTCATCTTTGTTCACCAGATGATCAGAGAACTATCTTTATAGATAACAATGGCATGTCACGTTCTTAGTGAATCTCCCACGGCTATCTCAGAGGCTGTTGTAATTTTCAATTCGATCAGGGTTTGGGTGTTGCTAAGTTAAGCTGAGATATTCATGCTAGCTTGAAGATGCTAATGATACAATAGTTTCATGCAGGATTGGAGTTGCTTCTTGGGCTTCTTGGTTCTACGAATCCTAAGCAGCAACTTGATGGTGCTGTAGCTCTATATAGGTTAGCAAACAAATCAATGACTCTTTCTCCTGTTGATGCTGCTCCTCCGTCTCCTACGCCACAGGTTAGCTTTCTGGACCTCATAGTTCCATGTTATCCACTTTTTTATGTTGTGAAAATAAGTGATTTAATTGTTGAGCATATTCTGAAGCTTTCCATGTTGGAACTTGGAAGTATCTACGTGGTTAAATGAGCTTAGGTTTTTGTGGTTCATTAGCTTTTTTAGAAATTCTGGAATTTTTACCCTGGGATGCAATCTGGCATTGTCGAACAATGTCAGCTTTTGGCATGTATGTTATCTTAGTTCCCTTGGAAACCAGTGTCCTTTTTTTATTGGAATATCCCTCATGTCAGCTTTTGGCATGCATGTTCTTTTAGTTCCCCTGTAAACTGGTGGCCTTACTTTTTATTGGAATATGCCTCGAGTTCCCATCTGTTTTGTTGACCCTTTTTATACCCAGTGAATTGTGGGTTGGATGTACAAATACGAGTTTTACTAGCGTAGAGAGTGTTTGAAAGAAGGAATTGGTACTGAAGGAAGAACTAATTAGTGTATATCAAAGGCCTTTGGCCTTAATCCATTTTTTGGAAAGGCTCAGGCTTCGCTTTTGGGAAAAAAAAAAAAAATTGTGCATACACTGACCAGTTGCTCATACCACTTATTTTCTGTATGCACTCTGCACTAGTTAGTAAATAAACTAGTGTATGTTTGTGGGCAGGCATATTGTCTCTACGGACCTGCATAATTTCAGAATATGAGAATAAATTATACCTGAACATTTCTTTTGTGCATATTTGATGCTTATTATCACATAATAAGTGCACTGCAGGTCTACTTGGGGGAGCAATATGTAAACAATGCTACGTTGTCTGATGTTACTTTTCTAGTTGAAGGTACACATTTGAATCTGGTGGTTGTCATGATCAGTTTATTATCATGAATTGCATTTTAAAATAGAAGATTGCTCTTTTCCATTGTAGGTAGAAGGTTCTATGCTCACAGAATCTGTCTCCTTGCATCTTCAGATGCATTTCGTGCAATGTTTGACGGTGGTTACAGGGTGAGCAATTCTTTCCAACTCTCAACTTATCCCTTCCAGCAGCCCTTTCGGCTGCTCCACATCCGTAGTCCTTCGTGTTGTAAGCCAAGGCTTGCTGCATTTGAACATTCTCTGTTTGCTTATGAGATGAGATAGTGTTGTTTCTTTAATAGTTCAGGGTTTACCATTTGAATTTACTTGTTATCGGGAATTCTCTAAGTTCAAAAGATTTTGGCTGGTAATCCAAGTGTTATATCAGCTCATTACTAAAAATTAAAACTGGAATACATACTGTAGTTGAAAATATCTTCACATTTAGGATGTTTTGTATATGTTACATAATCCTTCGCTTATTCTACAGGAGAAAGATGCAAGGGATATTGAAATTCCAAATATTAGATGGGAAGTTTTTGAGTTAATGATGAGGTATAATGATTATTGGGCTTCTGTTCTCACAAATTTCTTTTTTTCCCTAAGCGGTGATACTTACAGAAGTAAATTTCTTGAACAGATTTATATACACAGGGTCAGTTGATGTTACATCAGACATTTCACAAGATCTCCTCCGAGCTGCTGATCAGTATCTATTAGAGGGACTTAAGCGACTTTGTGAGTATACCATTGCACAGGTGAGCATCTGTACTGGTTGGTTTGCAGTGTTTTGGGTAATAGCGCTTTTGAATCTCAAAGGGAGCATCTCACGGTTTTTTTTTTTTATATATTTTTTTAATTTTTATTTTCATTCCCAGGATATATCATTGGAAAATGTTTCAAGCATGTATGAACTTTCAGAAGCCTTCCATGCTATCTCGTTGAGGCATGCATGCATCCTGTTTATCTTGGGGCAGTTCGATAAATTGAATGGTAGGCCTGGGTAAGCATTCTCACTAACCTGCCATGTTCTGGCAATTCTAAGTAACATTCCCATGTTTTCAGATGCATTGATTTTTGCTGGACTTTAAACCTGATGAGAGTGGTCTCTTCATCGTGAATCTTTTGGCTGTAGTGCAGCAAGCTGTATTCTTGTAGAATATATTCATTTTTTTCTGCGTCCATGTCTGTCTAAAGTACTTGTTAGAAGTTACTTCTGCTGAGATTTTCTTCTATGATGAACCTTTGCAGGCACTCTCATCTGATCCAGCGAATTATTCCAGAGATCCGCAATTATTTCTCGAAGACCCTTACTAAACCTAACCTAAATAGCTTGCGCTTGTAGATGGCGGTCGTTGATTCTTGATCCCTAACTAGATACATTGTACAGAAAGTAGTAGATCATCTTCTCGTTGTGGAGCCATTCAAAGGTTCTAATTGGTTCTTTGTAGTGTGGCTCATAATGATTCCTGATTTCAGAGTTGGTTTCTTTCATTCCTGTGTTAGGTGTAGCCTGTGTAGCCGAGAAATGTGATCTTCACCGAAGGTATTACTTTCCACAAATTGTAATGGTTGTATGATTCGGAATGTATTCTATAAACTCTTTATTGAGTGCGCATTCATTTGAATGCATGTTTGGAAATGAAGCACAGAGGATATGATTCTTCAGAATTGAATGCACATTATCAGTGTTGTCTTGCAAAATCTTCCTCGCAGAATGGGAATATTATCGTACATAAATTATCTAGTTTTATGTTTAGGCTATATTTGAAATAATAAAAAACTTTTGTGAAATTTATGTGAAAATGTGGATATAGTTTAAATATTACATTTAAAATTATAAAAATTAAAATTTTTGATAATTTTTTCTTATAGAAATAATTAGGTGTGTGAATTAGTGGTTTCAATACATAAATTTAAGAGGTTATGCACGCACTGACTTATTTATGAATGGATCATGGTCTAAATTTATAGGCAATCTGTTGAGACTTGCTTGGCGTATACATATATGTCTAGTAGATTACTATGAAAGAGTAATCTATTTGACCATCTAAACGACTCTAATAAGATTAAATGAGCTTTTACTTGTTTAGATTTGATCTTTGACGGTTTTACAACTATGACTCATTAATGACTTGAATCTATTTAAACTAAGCAAATCCTGCATTGGTTGGGTCTGAATGAGCTGCACAAAAGGGTATATCATACATTGCTAGGCTCAACTTTTAGGTTTGCATATAAATCAACTTGAATTTACATGTAATAAGAAAAAAATTTTAAGCTTGTTGAGAAATATTGAAACAAAAAAGAAAATAAGAGCTTGTTACTAGATATTTGTTGATGAATAAGATTGACTCAGTTCCTCTAGTATAGGATCTATGATTAAAATACATCTAGAGAAGAATAAAGTTTAAGTGGAACAAAACAAATTTTTTTGTAAGACAATAAATGCAAACTAGTAGTTCTACAAATTTTTTTTTTAAATAAGTGTTTGTCTCATAATAAATAATGAAACGTGTTAGCTATAGCATTATATAAGTCGATATGTAAAGTACATTATTTACAACCAAACTACTAGGTCTCTAATCCCATTTACTCCCTTAATTTTCATATCTTATTATCAGTATCGACATAAAATAATACTTTTTACATTAATATTATATTTATTTTTAATTTATCGATCAATTTCTTAGTTTATACTTCTTTATTTAACCTTAAAAAAATTAATAAAGTAATATACTTTTTTATTTTAGATAAATTAGTTTTAAGTCTATTAAGAATAATATTTTTGTTTATTTTTAAATTGACCTCATTTTTTTATATATAATATTTGATTAAATAATTTTTATATAAGCCAACTAATTTGAGAATTCATCGTGAATGAATGAATAAAGAAAATGTGAATTTAAGCTTTAGATTTTTATTCAAATTAAAGGATGATGGCGTATTTGAGGTAATTAAGTTTAGAGACAATGAAGAGGTAATTTAAAATGTTTAAAAGGTACAAAAAAAACAATGTGTGTCTTACCTTGTTTGATGCTGAATCTTAAAGAATTCTTCCTTGATCACATATTATTGAATGTAACACAATATTTTACATCAACCAGAATACATTCAAGTAATCGAGATAGATTTCTTGAAAACTCTCTTGCTTCGGCTGTTTACCAAGAGAATTGTCTCCGGAATTTCTTTTCAAAGTTGAAATTATTGAGAGAAGAAGGGCTTATTATGGTGGTTCACATTTCTCTTCAATTTTATACCCATAGGCTAGGGTTTCTAACCCTACAACTTTTTTTTTTTTTTTTAATTGGAGAAACAATCCCGTAACGAATAAATTAGTTTGGTTGTTTATGCCAAAATAGTATTATATTTTTTTTATCTTGTGGTTGAGAATAATTATACATATGGGTTCTGTTAAATGACAATTTAGGTTCAACATAAAAGCTAACAATGATATCTTTTGTATGCTTACCCAATAGAATAAAAGAACTTCTCTTTTCCTTCATGTAATTAATATGGAGAGATAAGTACAAAGCAACTTGGAGACAACATGTGATACTTAGCATATGTCATGACCCTTATATGAGGAAATTAAAATTTTGAAGGACCTTTTAACATATTCACTTATTGCTGCCATACATCTTTCTATATCCTAGAAAGACCAAAAGCAATGGTTTATGTTACTCTATTTTAGTCAAATACTATGGTAAGCTTACATAATTGCTTGATTAGAAAATTCATTTCTAATCAAGCAAATATTAATTTTTAACAATATAAAATGATTGATCATTCATCTCCATAACCATCATCGGCTTCATTGTTTAGAGTTTATGAAAGCCATCTGATGCTCAACTATCAAACTATAACAATTCATATACAAAATAAAATGACATGCTAAGTCTAAGGATTAATTATACATAACCAACACAATAGCTTTTTAACTGACACTAAAAATTGCTCAAGTTAGTGTAGTGTAGTGTATTTGTTATTAACAACCATATCCACATTTATCATAATTTTTATCCTCTCTTTAATAATACTCTCTCTCTCTCTCTCTCTCTCTCCATATATATATATATATATATAATTTATAATGTCCTCTTCATAAATTTTATAGATTAAGTGTTATTGACAATGGTGTTTACAAACTGTACTTAAGATTGTATATTTATATAATCCACAAACTATTCATAAGACATTATCATATGATAATATATTCTAGTTGTTACATAATTATAAGCAGCGAACGTTTAACATATCAATAGCTAATGATAGACCATGAAAATGGGTTGGCTGCATTTTAAATTTGCAGACCAACACTATTGTGATCTATGGTATCAAGAAACTAGTTGTTTACATTTTTTAAATCTTCCAAGCACTTTACAACTGACTTTCATGGATAAGATGATTCACTTTTCCCTCTTAGTATTTCTCTTAATTCGGTGAAATCACTATGCCTCGACTTATAGATAGCTAGCTCGTGTTCTTACCTTTTGATTAAATTATACAATAAATTTGATTGTTGTAAAATATTTGTAACTAAATTGATTCAGTTTAAAATTATGAATAATTTTTTGGCCCATATTATATAATCTCACTTAACTAAAGTTATTTTCCGACTACAAGATTTTTTTTTTTAAAAAATTAACATAAATGAGTCTGTGTGAAAAAATTAGTTTCATAATTTCCTCTTTCTTGTATCAGAAAAAAAAAAAAAAAAAATTTGTGGTTGAAAGAATGAGAAAGTTTATTGGAAAAAGGGAGGCAGAGGCAGTAGTAATGAGAGTAGTTAGAGATGAATGGTTTATTAATTACAAAAATAAAAGAAGAGCCTTAAACGATGTTGTTGGGGTTGCAGCTTTGCTCATAATGATCTGATGGAGACACTCAAGTCAAAGTAGTTTTTAGTAAATTAGTATTTTACCTTTTAAATTATTATATTTTCAAAATATTTTAGTGATATTTTAAAGCTTTTAAATTTACAAAATTATTTTAGTTTTTGATATTTTTATATATTTTACAAACATAAATGTGGACTTTTCTTACAATTCCTCTTTTTTTTTTTTTTTTTTTTCACATCTTGAAAATTTAACTCGTTCTATAAATGTATACTACGAGAAAAATATTTTTTAATATGCTACATTTAATAACAAAAATTTTGCTATTAAAAATTCAGACTTATAGCAATAGAGCATTTGGTATAAGACCTTCTGTTAGTATTAGCTTACTTTTAGTAACAAAACAAATTGCATCATTAAAGGACATTCTACAAATTATTTTTAGGCGGTTCCACTTTTACTAATAGATAAGCTTCCGTTATTCCATTTTGTTTGTATAGTTTCTTGTCCAAGCTTGCCTGCTGTTATAGCTCTAACCTAACTCTAAACAATAATATTCACATAAAATATGTAACGTCTCTGGAAATTCAAAAGGAAATATGTATAATAATCTGAGTGCGGAAGTAAAATAAAAGATTAAGGTTAACATCCCTTACACAATAATTTAAAAGTACTAAACAATGTCACTGAATAAGCTCTCTAAAAGAAATACGAGAAATGAGAAAAATAAAGAAAACTATAAAACATCTAGCATCTACTCGCTGTCTTCTTGTGGATCGGGCTCAGGAACCAGGGCCTCCTGATCTGAAATGGTTAAATAAGGAATGAGCTACACTAGCCCAGTAAGAACATCACACTATATCACCATCACAGCAAATGTTGGTA